TTTCTGTCAGAATGGCAATAATACCATTAAGATGACATCACAACTATAAGAAACAGTAATATCATTAAGATGACATTACAACTATAAAATGACAACAATTGACTGGTAGTCACATCAGATTCAAAATCAGATCTGAGATCTACGGTGGTGGTGTAGGCGGCGTAACCAGAGGTTGCACTGTTCACGAAGGTGAGAGATGGTGGTGTTGGATGAGGCGGCGGTGAAGACGCCGGATATGGCGGCGGCTGACGGCAAGACTAGATGGGGTCACTGATTGGGCTTCCTGTGGCGCATGTGATGGTGGAGGCGGCAGTAGCAGCGGTGACGCCGGTGGTGGTGGTGGTGGTGGCGCCACCCCCGGTGGTAGCAGTGGAGGCGGCGGCGGATGTTCTGTGCCAAGGGACTGTTACGTTGATGAGCCTCTCATATTTTTCTTTATTAATTGATCTTGTATTATTAATAAAATAACTTAATTTGCTCATTAAGGGTAATTTTGTCAACCATTTCTTTTTTACTCCTACGGAACATGACATTTCTATTCTTGCAATTACATAAACTTTTACTCCCATTTAGAGAATTATCTGTAATTATAACTCTTTCAAATACTGTCTCCTTCCGATTTTATTACTCTCAAATACAAGGAAAAACTTACTCACTCTTCACTCCCTTTCCCCTACGACAACGTACCTCCAAACTCCCAAACATACCAAAGGAAAGAACCAAAATGAGATGAAAATGCAGAGATACCTCCTAGCAGGAAGAGTGCCGAAAAAGGGACAGTAAGTATTGAATTTGGCTGATTTCAGGGCATCAACTACAGCAGTTTCAGCTCGGAGACTCGTCCTAAAGCATGGGAAAATGGCTGGATCGCCATTGCTAAGAGGAATCAATGGCCTTTCATCTCCATTATTAGCACAGGTCTGGCGTAGCCAGTACAGAGTGCCTCCAATAGTGTCTGTCGTGTCTATAATCAGCTTCTCGTTTCCTCTGAAACTCCATTTTCTAATTCCATTCTCCATTTCCCTTCTACTCTTTAAGCTTTAAGATGGAACGTGTTTTACGTTTTCCGCATAAATGAATGCATCATCATGGTCCATGGAGATTAGGTTTATTGTGAGTGTCCAATCCAATCACTCAATGCAGATGAATTTGGATTTCCATTATAGGAAACATGAGCATAGCGACATAATAATATAATTCTGGAAACATTAACATAGCGACATAATTCTGGAAACTCTCGGGTCCCGGACTCATGTCTCTGCGGAGCTAAGGGCCAAATAGGCTCCGGGGCTAAATTTAAAATTATCTTCATTTTAGGGGTGTATTGAATATGGATTGTGGTGGACTTTTTTAAATTCGTGGTCTTTTAAAAAAATCAATGGACTTTTAAATCCATAGACTTTTTTATGAATGAATTCTATGGATTTTTAAATCCATGGATAATTTTATTGACTTTCAAAAAATCCATGAACTTTTAAATGCGGACCACCACAGTTGCCGTCAAAATTTTCACCTAGATCACCGCTACCGATCTGTCCATCCGCCCCTTCACCGGAGTTCCCCGTTGTCGTCATCATATTGATCCGCCACCAACAAAATCGATTTGGTTATGCAAGGGAACTAGGGGCAATTAATTATATTAATTAATTAAACTTAGGGGTGAATATGTAATATTTAGTCCTATTTAAGGAAAATCAAACATATGATCATACTTTAAGAAGAACATATGTTTTAGTCCTACCCTGAGTAATTTCCACTGTATAATACGGAGTATGATAAGAAACAAATAAACAAACAAACAAACAAATAAATAAATAAATAAATAAATAAATAAATGTAATTCATATAGCAACACAAAGTTCTACAAGAATAAATGAAGCATAAGAATCCAAATTTATCTTTATTAAAAAACTCAAAATTTCAAGAATGCTCAAGAATTTTGGTCATTTTATTAATGAGTAAGAACATTAATCGTTACACAACCGTTACACTCATTGCTACATGTGATGCAAGCATAGTTGCAATCGAGTTTATCTTCTTAATAATTGTTTTCTTTTCATTTCTATCTTGTAAAAATTTGTGTACTTATTTACGATTATATATTTATTAACTTGAAATTATATTTTTATGTGTTAGCGATTTAACGATGAAAGAAAGTAATAGTTAAAATATTTATTTTCTTAATAGTTAAGTGACGACGTACCAGAATTGCACTGATGTAATACTATCGATTCTTATACCAGTTCTTCTAGAAACTTCTAGAATCGAACCAATATGGGATTAACGAATTGAGGGGGAATCGAGGGGGTGAGGTGGGGCACGCTGATGAAGAAAAAGAACGGAAGGAGAGGAGTGGGGCGAGCTGGGCTGAAGAAGAAGAGGAAAGATCGAAGGGGAAGGAGTGACTTGGCTAAAGAAGATGAGAGTTGGGGGGAGAGGAGGGATGGGGTGGGACGGGATGAAGAATCGATATAAGAAAAGTCCACGGAAATCTTTAGTGAAGAGAAGAGACAATTGGGGAGAATTAATGTACTAAAAATGAGTTAAAAGTCCACGAGAATCCAAAATTTTAGAAATCCATAAGGATGAATGGAACTTTGAATATGCCTAGACTTTTATAAACTTTTAAAAGTCTACATTGAATACACCTAGACTTTTATAAGCTTTTAAAAGTTCACATTGAATACACCTACCTAAACTTTTAAAATCCATGGACTTTTAAAATTTTGCCACTAAATCCTAATACAATACAACCCTCTTAGTCTTTTTGATCATATGGATACTAAGGAGAGATTTGGTCGTAATCTAAATGTTTTTTATCTTAAATTTTTAAGATTTGGAATGGTTTGATTTGAATCTTTCTGACCTGGGTCTTTTTCGGAAACTCGGATTTGATCTAATTTTTCTTATTTAATCTGATTCTTTTTTATCTGATTTGATCTTAATGTTTCTTAACTGATTTGAATCTTTCTGAATAGATTTCAATCTTTCTGATTTCATATGACTATTTGTGATCTGGTTGAGTGTTTATTATTATTATTGGAAGAATTATTATTATTATTGGAATTATTATTATTATTATTATTATTATTATTATCATTATTATCATTATTATCATTATCATTATTATTATCATCATCATTATTATTATTGTTGTTGTTGTTGTTGTTGTTATTGTTGTTATTGTTGTTGTCGTTGTGATTATAATTATTATTCTTATTATTATTACTATTATTATTTGTTTAAATATGGTCTTATCTTGTCTATTCTATTTAAGTATGATCTGGTTTGAGACTGAAATAAGTCTAAGTAAAAACAATCTGAAACTCAAGGAACCCTATTTTTCTATATATGTTGGAGGTAATTCCCGAAATATGACTAAATGAAACTTTAATCGCAAAAAGAGGACTATAACTTTAAAACTCCCTAAATAGGACTATCTATGATTTCAATCCTACCCTTTCTTTGTTCTAATACAATTCATATTTCATTAATAAATTAAAACATAAAAGTAATAACATAATACGCAATATTACTTATAATAAAACAATGAAGAAAAAAATTAAAAACAAAAAAATAAATATTAAATAATATTATGAAAAATAAAAAATTGAAATAAAAAAAAAATTAAAATTAAGAAAACTTAAAATGAATTAAATAAATAAATTAAAATGTTAAAAATAAATATAAACATAAGCAGGCCTCTACTACCCCTCAACAACCTCCCAGCAGGCTAACACCACCATCTCTGGCCACCGGAAAAATGCCAACCTGTGTTGCGAATTCCATCTTGATGACAGTTTTAGAGATTAAACATTGACACTCTCAAAATGTCAAAATGTCATCTTTATGGCATATTTACAAAACATGACATTTATTTGACGACCGGAGGTGTCATTAATGGGAGGTGGTAGAGGCTGTGGGAATGACTTCTGTATTCTTTTCGTGTTTATCTATTTTTTATTTATTTTTGATGTTTTTTGTTGTTTTATATATGTATTATTTAATTATTAAATAATAATTATTTGTACAAATTATTATAAAATAAAATATAGCTTTTTATTTTTATGTTTTTTATTACAAATTAAATGCTAAAGGGTCAAATAGACCCACGTATCAGTCGTGTAAGCACAATTCAGTCCCTGAACTAAAAAAAGGTTCAATTCGCACCCCGAATCAACAAAAAATGGTTCAAATTTCATTTTTTACAGATAAACAATTGGTCATTTTTTAACTTTTTTATTGTTTCTGTCTTTTATTTTCAATTTATTGCAATTTTGATACTTTTTAATAGTTTAAGGGTGCGAATTGGACATTTTTTACCGGTTGTTTACCTTTAAAAAATGAAATTTGAACCCTTTTTGCCGATTCAGTGTGCGAATTGGAAATTTTTTTAGTTCAGGGACTGAATTGAGCTTACACGATCAGTACAAGGACTTATTTGACCATTTAGCCCAAATTAAAATATGATTTTTCTATTAAATAAAGGTAAGTGATGGAGTATATAGACTCGGACCCCCCAGGTCTCACGACTATTGGACCCGGATAGCGGCCCACACATGCTTATCGGACGTCATTTATATCATTTGTATTATTGTAGAGTTCATATATCATTTATATGTACCAGATTAGCCTTTTATGTAGTTGGGCTTATCGGGTCCATATTAGTGGCCCGACCCATTATTTCTCTATTTATACTCCATTTGGAGCTTGTAAACCCTAGATCACAATTATATACACAATACACATTACTATTCATCTTCTTCCATCTAGGGGTGGATTCGGGCCGGGTCGGGCCCTGGGCCGGGCCTAGGCCCGGTCGGACCGCCGGTTCGTATCACATGGGCCTGGGACCGGCCCGAGGGTTGGACGGGTCCGGTTCGGGCCGGGCCACCCGCCCGGGTCACGGGTCGGACCACCCGCCGAGCCGGGCCGGGTCGGTTAAATATTTTTTTTTTTAATTTATATTTTATACTTTATAGTTTTATACAAGTATTAAAAAAAAATTCAAGTGCATTTATTTGAAATGAAATAGGAACTACATTTAGAGATAAGAGCAAAATCAAGTGAGAAATCCTTCCAAGACATACAAAAAATTCATTCCAATCACAAAAAATCAACCAAAAAGTGTTCTGAAAAAAAATCACAAAAAATCAACCAAGAAGTGTTCGGAAAAAAAGGGAGAGCAAAAAAAAAGGAAAAACTACCGCAACTCCCGGCAACACCGCATTGAACGCTTCTCCGGGAGCGTGTAGCTCACTCGCTGCTGTGGCGGCCAGTATCAGGGATATCAACGCTTTAAAATCTAGGCGTCTACTGGAATTTGCGTCTAAGTTTCAGCTCACATTCCTCATTTTATCTTCTTTTCTTCTGTACTTCTTTCCAGTGGCGTGCTAATACTGGCTCGGTCGAAAAAATGGAGGCGAGGAGAAATGACAGTCCGGTGTATACGCGCCATTGGAGAACCGAATCTGAAGTGCTAAATCCTCCGGGAGCTGCAGCATCTGTCGCGCGTCCACACCATGTTCGCTCTTCCTCCGTCTCCGGCGTGTCCAGCATTAAGCGCACTCAGAATGTCGCAGCCAAAGCCGCTGCTCAACGGCTTGCTCAAGTGATGGCCTCCCAAGCTGCCACCGGCAATGACGATGATGAGCAAGAAGACAGTGATGATCTCGGCTTCCGATTCACTCCTCAGCCTCTATCCAGAACTGCCTCCAGTCCCCCAAGCTGCCACCAGCAATGACGATGATGAGCAAGAAGATCGTGCTACTTGGGTCTAAGCCGCAGAAGGCTTCCCACTTGACACATGTAGAGGGGGAAAGTTTTTGCAGCAGATTATTTGTGGGCTAGGTCAAAATTGGTCAAAAGGGTGGTGGGCCTCCTCAACTACAAGCCATGGATCCAATTTCTACATGGATCTGTTATTTCAGCTCATTATTCTGGCCCAAATAAGAGCTAAGTGCCCAATACTCCTATTTATACATTTAAAATGTTTATTAAATGACAGTAGCATAATTATTACTATTATTAATTATATTATTTCCACCACCATTATGGCGGGTTAAAAACCCCCGAGGTGGTGAAGACCATTAGGATTTAGGTCGGATTAAAATTTCTCGAGGTCGCTAGTGATGTATTATTATTGGCGTTATTATTTTTATCACCGCCGTTAAATCGGGTCAAAAAAACCTCAAAGTGGTGAACCCGAGCTCTAGTCTACCGAACATCTTTATTTGATGATTCGGATTATATTTAGGTCCCTCGACCTACCTCGGTCACCTTTATTTGGTGACTCGGGCATCTAAAATTGAGAGCCGTTATCGGCCGCACACGACATTATTATGCTTAAAAGCGGTAAACGGTACACCTCAGTCTAAGATACCGCATATTACATCGACTCCTCAGAGCGAAATGCTCAGGAAAGGTCGACATAGCACATCGTTTTGGCCCCTTAGAGCGAGACGCTCTGGTAAGGCCGACGGTGTCCCCAGGACGAAGAGCCCGCAAATAGGGCAGAGCACGAGTCGGGTTCGGGCGGGTCGGGTTCAAAAATGATAAACCCGTTCGGGTATCGGATTGATAATTTCAAACCCTACCCTATCAAAAAAATTATCGGTTTTTTTCGGGTTGAAGAAATTCGGGTTGCGGTCGGGTTGATTCGGGTTACGGGTCCATTCGGATTTTAATTTATTATTGTTGAAATTGTGATAAATAAATTGGTAATTGGTAAAAATATCATTCAAAGTTATAGTAGTATATCATTCAAAGTAATAGTTGTATAAATACGGTAATCGACATATTTGAACATGTAAAATAATAATATACGGTGATTGACATAATTGATATTGTGAAAAATAAAATGATAATTGGTCAAAATATCATTCAAAGTCATAATAATACAACATTCAAAGTTATAGTTGTACTAATATGGTAATTGGAATATTTGAACATGCATAATATGGTAATTGACATATAATAATTGAGATATTTGAACATGCATAATAATTTTAAGTAGTATATATACTATGCTAGTTCGGTTTTTCGGGCGGGTCGGGTAGCATAATTGGTAACCCTACCCGCTACCCGCTTAAGTCTCGGATTGAAAAAATCGGATCGGGTTTGGGTATTTTGGGTCAGGTTTTCCGACCCCAACAAAAAAATCGGATATATCCTATCGGGTCAATCGGGTAGGGTCGGGTTTGCTCTCCCCTACCCGCAAAGAGCCCACGTCTTGAAATGGGAAGCTCACCGCGTCGTCCACTCGCGAAATTGTAGGACGACAGGTCTGAAATCATGGTCGATGTGACAAAAATCCCCAAACTCAGGGATGAGAAACGGCAGCCGTCGGTAACCGACCAAAAGCCTTAGCCCGCGTCATAAATAGGCGACGGGACCTCCCTGAGACCATAGGACGATCGAGTAGGACTCCTTATCGGCCGAAGGACTATCGACCCCCTCGGCCGAAGCCTGAAAGAAGGATACCCACTCCTCGCTCAAAGAAGTAAAGAGGAAGAACATAAAAGAGGGACAGCCGAAAGACCGTGCACTTGCCGGCCTAAAGCGATATCCCCAAAAATAAAAGAGGGACAGCCGAGAGACCATGCATTTGCCGGATTAAAGCGATATCCCCAAAAATAAAAGAGGGACAGCCGAAGGATCGCGCATTTGCTGGCCTAAAGCGATATCCCCACAAATCAAAAGAGGGAAGCCGAGGACCGCGCACTCGCTGGCCTCGAGCGATAAAAAATAAAATCCCCAAAATTTGACTAAGTACATATCAGACAAATACTATACATATCAGACGAGCGCCCATCGCCGTCCTCCATCTCAGATGAGCGTTGTCCTTCATCTCAGACGAGCGCCCAGCGTCATCCCTCATCTGAGACGAGCGCCCAGCGCCGTCCTTCATCTCAGACGAGCGCCCAGCATCGTCCCTCATCTCAGACGAGCGCCCAGCGCCGTCCCTCATCTCAGACGAGCGCCCAGCGCCGTCCATCATCCCAGACGAGCGCCCAGCGCCGTCCCTCATCTCAGATGAGCACTCAGCGCCGTCCCTCATCTCAGACCAGCGCCCAGCGTCGTCCCTCATCTCAGACGAGCGCCCAACACCGTCCATCATCTCAGACGAGCGCCCAGCGCTGTCCCTCATCACAGATGAGCGCCCACCGCCGTCCATCATCTCAGACGAGCGCCCAGCACCGTCCCTCATCTTCAGACGAGCGCCCAACGCCGTCCCTCATCTTCAGACGAGCGCCCAGCGCCATCCCTCATCTTCAGAAGAGCGCCCAGCGCCATCCCTCAGACGAGCGCCCAGCGTCGTCCCTCATCTCAGACGAGCGCCCAGCGTCGTCCCTAATCTCAGACGAGCGCCCAGCGCCGTCCCTCAGACGAGCGCCCGACGCCGTCCCTCATCTTCAGACGAGCGCCCAGCGCCGTCCCTCATCTTCAGACCGGCTCCGCCGTCCTTCATGTTCAGTTCGGCGTCAACGCCTTGCCCTTCATGACATCACGACCGACCCCTCGGCCTTGGCGTGATTATCTATCTCAAGACCGGCTTCCTCAGCGCCGAGAGTCTTGAGCCAGCGATTGGGCTCGCCATCCCTTCCTGGATGGTGACCATCGTCTCTATATGACAGCTGGTTCATCATTGCCCCGTCATCATATTATCGGATCGGCTTCTCAGCATCGCCATCCGCGCACCACGACCGGCCCCTCGGCCTCGGCGTGACTATCTATCTCAAGACCGGCTTCCTCAGCGCCGAGAGTCTTGAGCTAGCGATTGGGCTCGCCATCCCTTCCTGTATGGTGACCATCGCCTCTATATGACGGCTGGCTCATCATTGCATCGTCATCATATTATCAGATCGGCTTCTCAGCATCGCCATCCGCGCATCATGACCGGTCCCTCGGCTTCGGCGTGACTATCTATCTCAAGACCGGCTTCCTCAGCGCTGAGAGTCTTGAGCTAGCAATTGGGCTCGCCATCCCTTCCTGGATGGTGACCATCGGCTCTATATGACGGCCGGCTCATCATTGCCCCGTCATCATATTTCGGATTGGCTCCTTTCATCGCCATCCGCGCATCACCACCGGCCCCTCAGCCTCGACGTGACTATCTATCTCAAGACCGGCTTTCTTAGCACCGAGAGTCTTGAGCTAGCGATCGGGCTCGCCATCCCATCCTGGATGGTCACCATCGCCCTTATATGACGATCGGCTTCATTCTTGCATCGTCATCATATTATTGGATCAGCTCATCATCACCGTCCGCACATCACGACCGGCCCCTCAGCCTCGGAGTGATTATCTATCCCCAAGACCGGTCTCAGTCATTCCTTTATCGGATGGCGACCGTTGCTTGGACTTTTGGATCAGCCTCATAGTGCTGACGACCTCGCATCACGACCGGCTCCTCGGCCACGACGTGACGCCCTATCCCAACACCAGCTTCATCAGTGCCGAGTGTGTTGGGCTAGCGATCAGGCTCGCCATCCCCTCTTGGATGGTGACTATCGCTTCTATATGACGATCAGCTTCATCATCGCCTCGTCATCATATTTCGGACTGGCTCCTCATCATTGCCGACCGCACATCGTGACCAGCCTCTCGGCCTCGACGTAATTATTTATCTCAAGACCGGCTCCTAGCGCCAAAGTCTTGTTATAGCGATTGGGCTCGCCATCCCTTCCCGGACGGCGACCGTCGCCCCCATATGATGCACGGCTTATCATCGCCTCGTCTTCACATTAAGACCGGCCCCGACGCCGAAGTCCTTATCTAACGACCAGGCTCGCCATTCCCTTCCTGGATGGTGACTGTCGCCTTCATATGACACACGTCTTATCATCGCCTCGTCCTCATATTCGGACCGGCTCACCAGCGCCATCGTCCTCATATTCAGACAGGCTTGTCAGCGCTGTTGTCCTCATATTCGGACCGACTCATCTGCGTTGTCGTCCTCATATTCAGGCAGGCGTCCACCGCCTCGTCCCCCTATTCAGATATAGCGAACATCTTGCGGTCTCCGGCTGAAAGGCTAAAGGAGCCCAGAGTTCAGCCATATATCGCTCCATCATCTTTATTTGATGACGCGAAGCTCATTTACAGGCCCATCAACCATATATCGCTCTGTCATCTCTATTTGGTGACGAAGAGCTCATCTACAGGCCCATCGACCATATATCGCTCGGTCATCTTTATTTGATGACGAAGAGCTAATCTACAGGCCCATCGGCCATATATCGCTCTGTCATCTTTATTTGATGACGAAGAGCTCATCTACAGGTCCATCGGCCATATATCGCTCTTTCATCTTTATTTGATGACGAAGAGCTCATCTACAGGCCCATCGGCCATATATCGCTCCGTCATCTTTATTTGATGACGCGAAGCTCATTTACGGGCCTATTTGGCCATATATCGCTCCATCATCTTTATTTGATGACGTGAAGCTCATTTACGGGCCTATTCGGCCATATATCGCTCCGTCATTTTTATTTGATGACGTGGAGCTCTCATCCGGGCACCTCGGCCATGCATCGCCCCGTCATCTTTATTTGATGATGTGGAGCTTATCATACCGGCCACTTGGCCGTCTCTCCTAGTCATCTTTATTTGATGGCTTGGACTTCTTATAGGCCTCTCGGCCACATGTCTCGGTCACTTTATTTGATGACCCGGACATCACATTATGGACGGTCACTCGACCTATCTCTTACTCATCTTTATTTGATGACTGGGACTAGTTATCATGCCGAGCTGGTCACATCTAGAGACTGGTATCGGCCATCCCTGTAGC